TCCGTCTGCAGAATCCAGTTCCAGGCAGCTGTCAGTCTGGGGTCCCCATTCCCTTGTTGGCTGTCCTCTGGGGGCCACTCTCTGATCCTAGGGGCCACTGCCACCTACATTCCTTCTCATATCCATCCCCCCTCCCTCTGCAAACAAGCTACAAACCTCTCTGACTTCCCCTTGTGCCTTCCATGGGAGGGGGGGGGGGACTCGGCTTGTAAAAAACCCACCAGGGAATCCAAGATAATCTCCCTATTGTAAGGGCTACCGATTAGTAGCCATAATTACATCTGCCATGTAACTTTACATATTCAAAGGCCATGACACAGGAGGCAAAGGTCCTGAGACCCAAAGCCTGCCTAGCACAGGAGGGCCAGCCTGCGTCTCAGGAAAGCTATCTCCTGTAACTGTATTTTTCATGCATCAAAGGATTCTTTCTGTTTTATCAAAATCTCGCCCTCCTTCCAAATTGCTTTCTAGCCACTCTTGACTTATAATTGCAGCGGTTTCCTTAGCAACAACTGGAGCTGGCCAACCTCTTTCTGATGCAGACCACTCGAGTATTTTTCCACAGAGCGCTGTCCATAGCAACTTCAAGAGAGAGAGACAGACTCGTAGATAGAGAGCATGCAGACAGCTCTTCGGCAGGGGGTAGGTTGGGGGGAGGGCGGCGTTGAAGAGATTGAGAGAAAAAGGAGAGAGAACTCATGGATATGGACAACAGTGTGGCCATTGTGGGGGTGGAGGGGCATGGGTGGAGGTGGTAGAGGGCATAGAGGGGATAAAAGGTAATGGAACAATTTTAATTTAATTTAAAAGAAAGAGAGAGAGCTCTCTACCTGTTATGAAAAACCTCACTATGGATCCCTGTTTGCTTCTCCAGCTCATGCTTCACCTCTGTTCTCTCTCTCAGCATCCCTGGTACTCCAGGCACGCGTGTGTCATGGAACTCATGCCTCTCCTCTCTGATGGAACAAGCCACACTTTCTCCCAGTCCTCCCTCTACCTTAGAACTGGCTGGGTCTTTAAAACTGAACTCAGGCCCAACCAGCGTGGTTCAGTGGTTGAGCGTTAATCTATGAATCAGGAGGTCATGGTTTGATTCGCAGTCAGGGCACATGCCTGGTTGCGGGCTTGATCCCCAGCAGGGGGTTTGCAGGAGGCAGCGATCAATCTTTCTTTCTCATCATTGATGTTTCTATCTCTCTTTACCGCTCCCATCCTCTCTGAAATCAATAAAACTGCATTTTTTTAAAAGACTGAGCTCAGAACACATCTCCCTCAGGGAGCCCCTGTGAATCCCAGGCTGAGTTCCATGTAATCAAAGTCGATTACCCTTGGCCATCACACATACCTCATGCCAAGTACTCAGCCTGTGTCACTCCAACACAGGACACAAGACTCCACAGGTAAAGCAGCACCCATGCAACAAAGTCCTAAGGTGGTGCCCAGCACTTACTGAGTCCTCCATGAGGGCTGTTTTCGTCCCTGCCACCTACCTACATCAGGGTGCCTCTCTCCTCTGCCATTGGTCCCTCGCCCTCTGTGTGCCCAGCTGCTGGCACAGGAACTGAGTCTGCCAAACAGAACAGCCATCCCAAAGTGTGAATGAACAAGCTGGCAACAAACTCCACGGAATTCCCTCTGCCCCCAGGGCCCATCTCCTGGAGGGGAATGCAGTGAGCCTGGAGCCCTTCTTGGTAAAAATAAATAAATAAAAGCAACAGACCTCCAGATGTGTCCTTGGCCCTTCCTCTGAGCAGATGTGCCCTACGGAGGTGGAAGGTGGTTTCATCTAGGCCTGCTGGGGCCCCGAGTCACCTGAAGGAGGGCGGGATGATGCTTGCTTCTCAGTCGCTCCCTCCCTGCCTCCCCCTCTCCTGCTCTCCCTTCCGGTCCTTCTGGCCTTGGCATCTCCACCACCCCCATGCACTACCCCCTCTGTGTTTCCGTGTTTCCGGGACTGTCACTGCTAACCACACACCTCAAGTGTCCTTCAGCCATGTTTCCAGGGCCCAGGCTGAGAGGTCCACCGGTCTGGCCTGGAACCCCAGCACCTCCACTAAGTAGCTGTGGGGCCTTGAGCAGGTCCATGAGCCTTCTTTTGCCTGGTGTCCTCATCTGCAGCAGAGGAGTCATAACAGCGTCCACCTCCCCCCAGGGCTCCTCTGAGGACTCCCAGAGAGATGCAGGCCCAGTTGCTCAGCCCACTGCCTGGTGGGCAGTCAACATTAAGGAGGGACTCACTCTTCTCCCAGGACCCTAAGCTTCAGCACCTTTCGAGTACACAGCTGATGGTTTCAGGGCCGATAGGGCCAGGTCCACTGTGCCTTGTTTGGCCAGGTGGGACCATGGCTCTCAGACTGCCATGCAGAACTGGAAGCAAGGTGTGGGGGTTTATGGGAGACATTCCCATAAGCAGCGCCACAGAAAGCCCAGCATAGAGGGCAGGCAGCATAGGGCTGAACCTGGGCTGAGCCTTTGCAGAGCCCAGGTGGGCATGTGTTAGGACACCTGAGCCTGAGCTCAGGGAGGTTAGGGCCCAGTCTTGTGCAACACCACGGTGCCCTGGAACAGGGCTACAGGCCCCAAAGGTACTCAGTGGTCATCAGGGCTGGCTGGCAACCCTGCTGGAGAGAAATGTGCCCAGCCACATCCTGGAATAAGAAAGCAATCTGCTTAGGGGGCTGATCTTCCCTTTTTGTGATGGAAATCATGGCTCCCAAGAGGTGCTAAGGAGATAGGGACCTAAGCTTTCTAGTGTGAGAATGGGAGCCCTGAGTTCTAGCCCAGATGGACAGCTGGGGAAGGAGCAGGACAGCCAGAGGTACAGGCAGCTAAAGTGTTCAAGGGAACACCCTGGTGGGTGTGGCTCATTTGGTTGGAGCGTCAACACATGCACGAGGGGTCTAGGGTTTGATTCCCAGTCAGGGCAGATACCCAGGTTTCAGGTTCGATCTGGATTCCTTCCCCTATTCGGGGTATGTACAGGAGGCAACCGATCCATGTTTCTCTCACACTGATATTTCTCTCTCTCTCTCTCCGTCTCCCTTCCTCTGTAAGATCAATAAAAACATATCCTCGAGTGAGGATTTTAAAATAATAATTAAAAAATAAAGTGTTCAAGGGAAGAATTCCCATGTGCAGGGACAGCGGCTCAGGAGGCAGGCCCTGCTCCAGGCTCCAGGAGGCAGCGGTGGGGCCTAGAGGAGGATGGTGGTCTTGAAAGGGCGGAGAGGGAGGGTGCCAAATGATAGCTTTGGACTTTGGTGGGGAAACTTCAGAGGGCAGAACCGATATGGCCCTCGTGACCTCCTTCCCAACACCCCCCACTGCAACTGCCCCTCTTTGCCTATGTGCCCAGCACTTCCAGGGGCCGCTCCATCCCTGCAGACCCACTGTCCTCAGCCCTCACCACAGGGCCCAAGTCTCCCCACATGCATGGTTCCTGTGGAGCCCAGGCCTCAGAGCCCTGGCTCTTCAGCTGCTATGGGGACTGTGCCCTTCATCTGTGCTGGGGGGGGGGGTCAGAGACTCTTTCCCGTCAGAATAGCTGGAGGACACCTCTGGGCACAGACTAAGGGAGCCCCAGTGAGTCTCTCACCATTTCTGGGTCAGCAATACTTTCCCCTCCTCCAATACATGCAGGAAGGACCCAGTCCCTCCTTCTGTCTGCCTCTCAAAGACTTGAAATCAGTTCAATGATCTATGGAGGGCCGTCCTCAATGTGTGGTGGGCTTGTGGTTCCCAGGGGTGAAAGGGCAGGATCCAGGAGTGATAAAACCACCTTAGCCTCTCTTCCCCACCTGGCAAGGGATAAGCCCTGTGAAACCCACCTGGTCTGCTCTCCATCCCTCCGGTATCTCTCAGTGGCTATACCAAGGCTGGCCAATTGTCAGCTGCCAGGGTTAGGCTGATCACAGAGGGGTGGGCAATCACCCCACCTCACCCCAGAGTCCTGCACTGAGCTTCTGGCAGGGGCATCTGACCTCACTCCCAGGCCCTACTATGGCGCACTGGTCTCAGGGACTACACAGGTGACTTCCCTGGCCCTGAGCCCCCATAATGCTACCAGAGAACCTAGGGCCTTCAATCCTGCCTGTTGTCCATCCCCCTATCTTCAATGTTTAACCCAATTATTGCTGGGGGATCCCAGAGTTTCCTGCAGAACCAATCAGCCATTGTTCCTGCCAACTACGCCATCCAGCCCAGAGGATTTCACAGCCCCCATGGACCCTGCCCCTACCATACCCCAATTCTGACTTGGAGTCCCAGGCCACTGTTCTTCCCCAACCCTGTCCCCAGCAGACCCTTCCCTCAATTGCCCACCGCAGAGCCAAAACTCAGATGAAACATTCAATGATGTTTATTGAAGAGAAATATTTATTGAATCCATTGAAGAAAGGGAATGACAGCACAGAGAGGAACTTCTAAAGGCCAACAGAGCCCATAGGTCACACCCCCTTCTCCTGGGGTCCCTAACGAGGTGCCTTAAATGTCCCCACACTGTGGCCCTCCCTCCATAGTCCCCCTCCCTGAGGGCCCTTTGATTAGACTTTGTAGGACAGTGGACACAGGTGATGTCCACTCACAGCAGGGCTCCCTCCCCCTCTGGACGACATGTTGGGACCTGGCTCTGCCCTATGGCCTGCACTGAACAGACACAAGACACTGGAAAACACAGCAGGGGACATTCCAGCATGCTGAGGAAACTGAGTCACAGGGAACAACAGGGTGGCATATCAGAGCACAGTCCCCGTGGAGCCTCCAGCAGCCGCCTTCTGTCCCTGGTCTATTTTTTCCTGCCAGAGGTCACTGGGTGAGCGCCAGACGCGCCCTGGTCCGTTCTTCTCATCCATTCTTCTGGGCCCAGGCTCGGGGTCTCCGTCCGGGGTGGGAGCGGTGGTGGGGAACTGCTCAGAGAAGAACACACACATCTCCACAAGCACAAGCAGCGGTTGGCCTAAATCTACACCGAGAAAGCAGAGGCTGAGCTCATGACAGGCGGAGGGGGGGCGGCCCCGGGGGGGGGGGCGGGCAGGACACCCACCTGGGTTCACACACACCAGGTGGTTCTGCACAGGCTCCATGGCCTGGGGGGGGGGCGGTGATTACTTGACACATGGGTCATTATGGAGTTATGAAAAATGAGTTTGGGGCTCCCCAGGAGATGGAGGATGGGAGTCCAGAGACTGGCACCCCTGTGATGGGCCCTAAAGTCTCCCAGTTCCACGCGGGTGGCAGATGTCTTCAGGTGCCCCTCTCCTAGGCTGAGATGGGCTGCTCAGCCTAGGCACTGCCTGATCTAGACCTGCAGGAGCCAGAGCATTCTCATCTCCCTGAATGGCGGGGAGGCCTTGGCAGTGCTCCCAGGCCAGCTGCCCAAGTTGGCAGGGGCTGGGGCTGAGGCCAGGTGTGGTGCTACCATGTGTGGGCACCTCTCCTCATCCCATTTGGTGGCAAGTATGGTCATCTTGATGACTTGGAAGGGCTGATGGTGGTGGTCAGGGCCCCTTGGGAGTAGTGGGGGACCAAGGGGCAGGGCAGACCCTTCCCTGGGCCCTGCTCCCCATGTGGGGTGAGGTGGCCTTCCCCTGCCTCCAGGGCTCTGGTGCCCCAGAGAACAGGAGGCCACTGAGCCTTCCAAGCTTACTTGAAGGAGGGCTCGGGGGAACTCATCTTCCCAGACCCGTCCTCACTTCCTGACTCCTCCTGGAAGAGAATGAGCTCCTTCTCGTGGGGCTCCTCAGCCTCCTCACCTTCTTCCTGGGCCAGGCCCTCTGGGTCACCGCCAGGACCTCCTGAGCCCACCCCGAAAGCAATGCCCAAGTGTGCAGGCGAGGGCCCTGCCTGACCTAGACCTGCAGGAGCCAGAGCATTCTCATCTCCCTGAATGGCAGGGGAGGCCTTGGTGGTGTCAGGGGCAGGGTCTGCCCCGGTGGCATCACCGGTTTCAGGAGCAGCCTCATCAGGATCAGCAGTGGCAGGACCCCCCTCAATGGCCAGTTCCTTGGCCAGAGTGGCCTCGGTACTATCTTCCTTGGAAAGGGCAGCCTGGGCTGCATCTTCATTGGCTGGGACGGCCTGGCCAACATCTTCATTGGCTTGGGCATCCTGAGCTGCATCTTCATTGGCTGGGGCGGCCTGGCCAACATCTTCATGGGCTGGGGAGGCCTGGACAGCATCTTCGTGGGTTATGGCGGTCTGGGCTGCATCTTCATGGGTTGTGGCGGTCTGGGCTTCATCTTCATGGGTTGGTGCGACCTGGCCAACAACCTCATGGGCTGAGGCAGCCTGGGCAGCACCTTCATGAGCTAGGGTGGCCTGGGCAGCAGCCAGTCCTCTAATGTCCACCCAGACCCTTTCTTCCCCCTGAAACTGCTGTCTCATGGTCGGAGTGGCCTCACATGCCTCTGACTCCCGAATGAGCCGAAGCATCTCCAGGAAGCCAGGTGGTTTCTCCTCCAGGTGCATCCTCTTCAGCTTGTTCCGGAGCTTCTCATTGGGGCGGGCCCGCATCAGCACCTGCTCGATCCGTACCTCGTCTGCCACGCCTGGGTGGATGGCCTCCTTCTCCATGGCCGCGTGCAGCAGGTCTTCCAGGCGAATCACATAAGCAAAGAGAGTCTCCTGGGGCTGCTGGGCACAAGTCACAAACTTCAGCCTCATGACCGCCTGGCTGTCCTTGTTCTTAAACACATGAGCCAGCGCTGTCAGGCATTCCTGAGCAGAGATGGCAGGGTTTTCATTCAGGAGGCCATACATGAAATTCTGTGCTGGCCCGTGCAGGCTCTCCACCAGCCTCCTCCGCCGTTCCCTTTCTGATATGTGGCGCCACAGGTACAGCATGTCGTTGGCGTGGTCCAGCCAGCTCGCAAAGGACTCATTCTTGTGACCTGGCTGTTCATTGCCAGAAAAGTCTCTCAGTTCCTGGTAGGCTATATTTTCCAGCACAGGCTTCAGGGCCTGATTCCATTGCTGGATCCAGGCTTCCTCCTCAGCTGCATCTCCTGCCTCGGCTGCAGCTCCTGCCTCAGCTGCATCTCCTGCCTCGGCTGCATCTCCTGCCTCGGCTGCAGCTCCTGCCTCGGCTGCAGCTCCTGCCTCACCTGCAGCTAATTCTTCACCTGGAGCTTCTAACATATCTTCAGCTTCTGCCTCACCTGCAATTCCTGCCACATCTGCAGCTCCTGCCTCGCCTGCAGCTCCTGCCTCACCTGGAGCTTCTACCACATCTTCAACTGAGGCCACGCCTGCAGCTCCTGACACTGCTGCAGCTCCTGCCTCACCTGCAACGCCCTTCTCACCTGAGGCCCCTGCCTCATCTGCAGCTCCTGCCTCACCGGGAACTCCCACCACATCTTCAGCTCCTTCCTCAGCTGCAGCTCCTGCCACACCTGCAGCTCCCTCCTCACCGGGGGCTCCTGCTTCACCTGCAGCTCCAACCGGCTGTGCGGCTCCTGCCTCATCAGCCGGGCCAGCCACCGCTTGCCTTTGGGGCTGTGCAGGGAAATTGGGTGCATCCTGTGACTCAGAGTCAAAGACCTGAGGCAGGAAGATCACAGTCCAGTCCTCTTGCTTGCCTGGTATGTGTCGGGGAATCAGATTTCGGTTTAAATTGTCAGCAAACTCAACCAAGGCGACCCTGCACCCAAGCTCCCTTCTGAAGACATTGCCCAGCACTCGGTACCTGCCCAGGGGCCACAGGGCATCCTGCAGGGCCTCCTGGAAGTCCTCCTCCTCGCAGTCGTCAGGGATGCCCAGGATGAGCACAGCGCGCTTCGAGTTCACGCCCATCCAGCGGCACCAGTCCCGCAGCATCGTCAGCGCCATCTCCCAGACGTGGGGGCGGGGGGGAAGGGGGGGAGTAGACGCGATAGGAAAGAGGTGCGCAGACTGTCGCAGTCTCTGCTGGGGCGGCCTGGGAATGCAAAAGAGGGGGGGGGAGAGGAACGTTGGTGCCACACAGCCCACCCCACCTCCTCCCAGGACAGTTCGCGCCCCCACCCCCTACTGCCGCATAATCCCCCACTGCACCCCTCACCTCCGCAATGGCAACGAGAAGGACCCCTTTGGTCTGGGCTTAAACCCCTGATCCAGCCCTAGCAACTGGAGCCCCTTCTTCCATCATCTGCAAACCCCCAGCCAGGAGCCCTATCTATCCTTCCATCATCCGCAAAGCCCGCAGCCAGGAGTGCTCCCACCCTCTCTTTCCTAGAGCGGGGCTAGAGCTCCTGCGCTTCCTACTCTGACACAGGCAACCTGTAAACCCGCTGCCGCAGCCCCGGCAGCCGCAGCCGAGTCCAGGGCCCCTCCCCCACCCGCTAGAATGGACCCCTCCGCAGTCAGGAGCCCTCTCCTCCCCAGACCCCTGCAGTCTGGTACCCCCCCCCTCCTTCCCTCCCTTCCCCAA